AATGCAATTTCAACTGTTGCAAATTGAAGAATAATTGCAAAAATTGTTTTAAGCTTTTTGTGAAACCATTTGTGGAATAAAACTTTTGGTGGCAAAGACAATCAACAATTTGAAGATATCATTAAGAACTCTTGATCAGAGTTCGTAGTCATTTCAAATATTAACCCTTGAATTAAAATTTTGTATCCATGGAAGAAAACTCACATTTTTCCATAGAAATAAGTGAAAAGAATTTATGGAAGTTACTAAATATTTACTGTATCCTTTCACTTTTATATTTATTGTAATTATATTATCTACAACAAAGGTAATGACCATTTTACAAAAAATTCTCTCAGCATCACTTCAACATACCCCAGAATGTTATACAAATATTTTCATGGCAAAGTCAAGAATCACTGTTCTAGGGGTGCCTCGAAGGCAAGACACAGGAGGGACAAGTTCACAAAAACTCAGATCAAAATAATCTAGAGAAAAAAGAACTATCAAGCCCCCACCCCATCCCCCACCTTCTAAACATTTTTAAATATCACACCCATGATGCCTTTTTTACATGATAAATTCTCAAACAGACTGAAAGTTAACTAAGAAGAAAGGATCAGGCTTTGAATCTGACAGGCCAGGGAATGCACCCGGCACCTGACAAAACCCTCTCTTTGAAGAGACTTGCTATACCCATGCAAGCTCGTGCTGCCTGCACTGGGGCAGAGGCATTTGTTTTATTCACATTCCGACCAGGAACCTGCCCTTGTAGGGTCCCACCTCACATCTCCAGCACCAGTACCTGGGTTACCCACTTAGTAGCAAAACAAGTGAACATGTGTTCTGGGTCTGCACATTGAGCCCTGGGGAACAGACTTACATATATCCTTGGGTCTCTGCAGCTCACATGTGTGCCCTGTCTCACATTCTCACTTCCCCTACATGTGGTTGCTAATGACACTCTTTTGGATGGATCCACAGCTCCTGCAGGGAGGATATTTTTTTCCTCCATAATACTTAAAAGAAAGTTCTGATGAAATAGACTCCCTCTGCCATGTATTTGCTGATTCTCTTTGTCCAAGGTACTGAACCATACTGAAACTCAGTTTCCTCATCTGTAAAAAATGGGGATACACTGACCCATGCCATCGGGTCTTTACAAAGATTAGTAGGATCAGGTATATTAAGTCTAAGATAGCAGGGCCTTCAGTACATTTTAGCCAAAATCATAATACCTATTATTAATGGTTGTTTAACTGAAATGTTAATGATACTATTTGATGCACTAGTTTCAACAGTTCTATTTTTGCCTGGCTTTATAGCCTCACAAGATAATATGCATAAATGAAAGTGAGAATTTTCTTATCAAAGCCATAGGCTCTGCCATACTTGTTCAGGCCTAAAAATTCTCAATTGAGTCTATCAGTTTCTGACTCTTTTCATCTCTGTGGCCCATGAGGCTAGGGCATGAGAAAGGTCCCTAAAGTATTGACTCTTTTCCCTGCAATGTCAGGCTGAGCACAGCTGAAGCCCATAGCCATCATCCAGGCTGCTGTTGGTTTCAGTGAGCTTAGCCTTCAGAGCTACCCTACCCCTAGTGCAGGACCAGCTCGCTTTTCTTACATTTTTTCTCTCTGCTGCTCTTTTTTCCCTGAGTTATTGAATCCCCAACCTTCCTTATATCTACTCCCAAGATAAATTCACTTCCTTTTCATTTAGTATTTTTGCTCCTTAGCAGCCCATTAGTCACTGCCCTCATTTCCACATTTTCTCACCTGGTTTGCCCCTGGTTTTAAAAACTCAAAGCCCTTATTCCCTCACTTACCAGCTACCAGTCTAGCCCATTGCCATCATCAAGGTGCAAGAAACTGACATCCCACCCATCCTCACTCCTTCCACCAAGAGGAATTTAGGGAACCTCTTTGTTCTTTCTGATGAGTGGTGAGGTCCACGCATAAGAGCTGCCACTCAAGTGAGTTTTCCTCCCTCTCACTCCTGTTTTAACCAAGCAGTATGGAAGTGCATGAGGCCTTCACATCATTAAGTTTTGAAAAGGCATAATGTAATTGAATACTTTATAAATATTTATAACTATATAAAAACAAGTATTTTTGTCTGTGTTTTCCTTGTGCCTCATGTCATGTCTGATTATTGTAGATATGCGATATTTAAGATATAAATATATTAGTTATAGAATGCAGTATAAAATACTAGAAGAAAATGTTCAAAATGATTGCTTTGAGTGACTGAGATATGGCTGGTCTTAATTGTCTCTATTTTTCAAATTTTCTACAATGATCATCATAACTAACATAATTGCAAAGTGTTTTATTTGAAACATAATCAAATATAAATCATTGGTAGCACAAACGTGGGTTTCCTTAAAAATTTAAATATTTTTTGAAACCAACACACAAAAATACATACCAAATTATCAAATTACGTGAATTTCAAAAACACGCAAAATTAAACCAAGGTAATAGAGAATAGTAGTTCTCTTTGTCAAGATGGGGTGTGGCTATGGATAGAAGGGGACACAAGAGGGACATTTGGGAACCAAGTATTCCACTTTTTGGTATGGTGATTTTTTGGTCTGTGTTCACTTTCTGAAAGTTGACAGGTACATTTATGTGAACCTTTCTGCATGCACATTAAACTTATTAAAAAGAAAGTTTACTTTTAAAAACTTAAAGTAATTGCTTTTCAAGGAAAACACCTCATATGAAAAGGTTTAATTTTAAAGTTTTGGTTTGTTGATTCTAACCTCACTCTTCACAGAAAATACAAGCATGAAAATTAAGAGAATAAGAATCACAGTGGAGCAGTAGAGTATTATTTGAAATGGAAAGCTATTAAATTGGCAGAATGATTATTGCCATATTGAAATTCAAGTTTTCAATCTTTAAAAACAGTCATGCAATTATTCAATATACAAATATAGTTGGAACAGGTAATAGGTAATATTTGCTTTTCATTCTAATTATAATGATTTATTATACTCTGACCTCGCTATCTCTAAAGTGACGGATTTTTTTTCTGTCTCTCTGAGCCAAAATCCTTTAATACCACTTGTTAAAGTTAGGAAGACTAAAAAGAACACATCCTACAGCTTCATTAGAAGAGAAATGTTCATTCTCTGGGTCATCCTGCCCTTGACCTTGTCTATCACCTTTTATTTTATGGCAGTTTGAAGTGCCTTATTTCATTGAGTACGTTGAATGCACGAGCATATTATCCAATAAATGACACCACTTCCCCACACACACCCCAAAAACTACATGGACAGCCTGATCAAAAGCAAGCTGAGGACCTCCCTGATGGCTCGGGGGTTAAAGTCTCAGCACTATCAAGCTATAAAGCTATCCCCAGGCACTGTGGCATGAGTTTTATCCCTGGCCAGGGAGTTAACCCACATGGCCCAGCAGACCTCTCCTGTCTCATCTGCTGCTCCCCTCAGCAGTGTATTTTAGTAGATCTGCCTGTCCTGCTCCCCCTCTATTTCTGGTGACTCCTCTCACCACTTCCCATACCTCTGGCCTATCCCCCAGTTCTTGTATGCATAAATAAATAAAAATAATTCTTAAAAAAAGAAAGCAAGCTGAAACAGGAGGCTCCTTCCGTGCCAGACAGGCTACACAAACTCAATTACACACAGGGTGAACAGGTGCTAACAATTGGCATCTAAGGTCAAAATGCTTGAGTAGTCTAATTATCGCCAGCTGCAAAGATGCCCTATAGTCTCCCCACTACAAAGGAAAGCAACTGAGGGTGAGGTCACCACTAGAGAAAACTCCACGGAAAGTTCAGGTGTGACTGTCTCTCCCCTTTGCCCGAGAATGGGGAGCCCAGCACACCAGGAACACTGATGGAATTCACCTGAGTCCTTCCGGCACCATCCCTTCCCCCAAACAAATATGTATAACAGATACAGAAGCTAAAGCCTTTTTAGAAATACTCAGTCCTACAGCAAATTACAACATCAGCACGGTGCCACCCAACAATGTTAGTTTTACCTATTATTTGGATTATGAATGTTTGGCAGGTGGTTCATTAAAAATTTTAATAAAGAAATAAGCAAAGAATGGATAAAAAGTTTATGATGAGATGCCAAGTACATAGGAAATAATTCACCTTACCAGTAATGAAAATAAAAATATAATGTAACATCATTTTGCATCAAGATTAGAAAAATAATTGGAAAATAAACTCTTAGAATTCTGTTAGGCCATGTCCAGGTCACTGTAAGTGTGCCATGTAAGGGCTCTGGAAAGCAATATGGACACATGTAGCTTGGGCAATACCAACATGCCTTTTTACCTAATATTTTTTGGTAACTTGTATTGGTATTAAGTTAATGGTTTACAAAATATTCATTGAAAAATTCTCTAAACTACTTTTAAAAAATAGTAATTGAATAAAATATTAAGATATATTTTTAGTACTGTCTATGAACTTTACATATCTATAAGGAAATATAGTTTATATAACAAATAACCAATATCATTGTTAACTAAAATATTAAGATTCAGAAGTATATAATATCTATTACAATTACATAAAATATAGATGCATACCAACCCAAACTGAAAGAACAATATGCTAAGATAAAAGCAACTAGTTTCTTCAAGTTCTAAATTGGGATAATTCATGTCTTTCTAAAATCCATTTAACACTGTATTGGTGCAATGAAAATACATTTATCTAGACAATTAGCTCTTGGGCATTACTGCAAATTCTATAAAAAAAAATTTCAGCACACTAAAAAGATAATCAAATTAAAAGGTATTTTGTTTAAATATTTTTTAAAAATTATGATGCTATCTAATCACTTAACCTTTCTGGGCCTTTATTTCATTTTTTATAAAATGGATAAGATACACAGGCCTCTCCGATGTCAGAGTTTGCACTGCTCAACTAAACTGATACATATGAAGCTGCTTATTAATCAACTGTCTTATCCATCAGGATACCACATTAAAGCGTCATAACCTTGTTAACAATAAAACTTTGTTTCTTACAGTTCCGGAGAGTCTGGAAAGTCCAAGATACAGTCGCCACAGATTCCTTGTCCAGCAGGGCTCGCTTCAGTCTCCTCTCTGTAAACTCAGAAGATGGAAAAGAGCAAAGGTACAGCTTCAGGCTGCTCTTATAGGGAAACAAATCCCATTAGAGGCAATAGCCAACACCTGGTGAGCCAGAATTCACGCGAAAACTCCAGGTTGACTCCAAGCCCAATGAATTCTGAGATGCTGATTCTTCATAGCTTCTGCAAACTTAGCCTAAATATTAGTAGAAATGTGATATTTTCAGAACAGGTACATAATACCACTCCTATTTTCAGGGATCACACCAGGATACTGCATGGTATGCGGAAGACATTTTTGAGAAGCTGCATCACAGAAAAGCAAGCACCGTGGGAAGGAGTTTTGAAACTTTTCCAGGGAAACTGCAGTTGAGGAAAGGGAATCATTTGGTAATCATACTGCAGTGTGCATATGGTTGGGGATAGAGATTTGGTAAAAAGAGACACAAAAAGATAGTGCAACTGGATTATTTTTTCATCTGGATCAGTTTATTCCCTCAGCTTGTATCTTCTCTTTCATTAGCCCACCTGGACTGAATACTGGACTGAACCCTATCAATACCTCTACATAAATATTCAAGATTCGGGTCATTGGCACAAATATCTACTCTTCCTATGGCTGAACAAGACAAGCCTTGCGTTTAATTGCCCTTACTTATTATAACAGCCACCTGCCAATCTGGGCTAGTCTCCCTCTTTCTTCTTTCTGTCCTAGTGTATGGGGACCAGTTTCTGATTTCACCAAAAAAGATCCAGAGTTTTCAAACCAACCTGCTACCTGAGACTGAAAATAGAGGTGCCCTCTTCAAGAGCCCTTCACAAATTTAATGGAGTTTGCTGATATCTAGGTTGCCCTTCCTTCCCAGAAGCTTTAAAAATAGTAAAGTTACCAATTAGACATAAACTTCCTTATGCACATTTTCTGTCTTCAGAAGTTTAATAACCTATTATCATTTTACTTCTTGAAAACTGATTTGCTTCTAGTTTGTAGAGAGATTGTCCCTTCCAGGAACACAGGTGTTCTAAAAGGAGAATTGCTTAAACCCAGCGCACCAATCCGCTTTAGTGTAGATTCTAACAAAGGAGGATCCTGAGATGAGGTTTTAAGTGCAACACTTTATTTGGAAGGTGATCGCAAAAAAACTTGGTAGGGGAGAGAGGTGCAGTAGGAATGGAAAGGATGTATAAAGGGTGGGTCCTGGAGTAAGTTACTACTGTGGATAATTGGAACTTAATTCCTCTGGGGAACTGGAAAATACTTTAGAACATGTGTCCTAGAGTTTTCCCACCCCATGGGGGAAGGAGCTGGGGTATTCACTGGCCACCTAAAGAGAAGAGGGGCAATATATGAACGATTCTGGCTTGCTTGGTGGGCCGCCAACACAGGCTCCAACAGACAGAACAGCCAGGGAGAATCACCGTACTGATAGGCAACAATTTGGAAGAAATGCTTAGAAGTATTATTGCTATGGGGATGGAGGAGGGAATTGACAATATCAGCTATAAGGTCTTATTGTTTATTGAGTTATTCAAGAGTAAAATGCCTCCTATAAAAAGTGATTTGAGTGTCAAAAATATATTTTTAATGAAATTGAAGGGTGTGGTTGTTTTAAGCCTAACAGTCTCCTATGAAGGAGAAATTTTAAAGTATATATGGACTATTGAAGGGGTTAAAATCCTTGAATATTTCAAGGGATTCCATCATAATCAAAACACAATTAGGTCAGCAATTTTTGAATAAAGGATTTTCTAAATAAGTGCAAACCTTAGTTCAAGAACTATTTGAATAACACAAATTCCAAGCTAATCAAAACTGAAGTTGTAATGATTTTTAAATTTGTTTTTGGATTGATTTTTGGATATGGCAGCAACATTTTAAGTGATCACTAAACAATGACTTGAAGAAATTTAACTCCTTAACTTTTTCCAGCTGATAATGCAGCTTTTTACCAATGGCACAGTTTTCTGTAACTCCTTGCTGGTTATCTAGTACTACAAAAAGGACTTGCCGCCTACTCTAGTACTGGGAAGGAAGTTACCTTTAAGCATCAACCAAGGCTTCAGAATGCCTGTGGGTAACAGGGAATCTATAAATATCTTACTGAAGATATTTAACCAGTGTCTTCCTGGGCTTTCATTTGAGGAGGTAAGAAGTAACTGCTGGAAATGCCATCAACAGTGTCATCTGCATGGAGACATGAAGATGAAAGAAAGATTTTGTTGAAGATGAAAATGAAAGATGAAAGAAAGCATTTGTTGTTTGAATTCCTGAATGTTTGTGTTTATTAAATTAGTCAAACCTTTATTCTGGATTAAGAAAATATGCATTGCATGATTCGGACAAATTCAAACAGCTGGGCTTTCAAAATAATTGCGCGAATGTTTCCTTTAAAAAGTCATGACTTAAAGTCTGATTTTGTAAATATGATTAAATTTTTCCTAGGTGCTTTGTATGTTTGGGGAGTTTCACTTTTCTGTTAACTTCTGTTACTTTAGAGAATACACAGTGTTGGCAGCAGTTGAATTTTCCCCAAGCACTCTGGTTTTATGTATCCAAAGTTTGCTTTGTTTTATGGCAAGTCTTTAAAAAGAAAATTGAAAAAAAAAATTAATTCAATGTTTCAGTGTCTTTCTTTGCTAACGCAATCAAAACAAATAAATGGTGAATAATTCAAACAACCAGGATTTATTGAGCACAAGTTACACATGCTAGTGCTTGAATTGATAGAGAATGGAAGAGAAAAAGAAGAGAAAGTGTCCTTCCATAGAATCACTGTGCTGGGCACTTGGTAGTAATTATTATGCCTGCTTCTAAAAGACAAAACTAAGGTTCTGCAACTCAAAAGAACATATACAAGGGTACTCTCCTGAGAAATGTCAGGCTAACAGTGCAAATTCTTATCTACATAACTTAGCCCATTTTCTTTATATTACAGTGAAATGTTGATCTGCCTTCCCAAGAGAAAACAGAAGATTCCTTTGAAACTGCAAAATAGATTGGCAGAATGCCAGTTTGGGATCAGTTATTTTAGATAGCTTTGTTAAGGTAATATTGATATACAGTAATGTATATAAAGTGCACATTTGACCAAGTTTAACATATGTATTTGGGCTTCCCTGGTGGTGCAAGGCGTTAAGTCGCAGCAATATGAAGCTATCACAGCCACTGCAGCATGAGTTCAATCCCTTACCAGGGAGCTACCCACAAGGTGCAGCAGACCTCTCCTATTTCGCCCACTGCTTCCCTAGGCAGTGTATTTCAGACAATCTGCCTGTTCTGCTCCCCACTCTATCTCTGGTGAATCCTCTCACCCCCTGCACCTCTGACCTGTACCCAAGTTCTTGTATGCATAAATAAATAAATCTTAAAAAATATATGTATGCCCCTGTGAAATATATTTATGCCCCGATATCATCACAACAAGAAATGAACACCCCAAAATAATCTTCCCCAAAGTTTCCTTGAGATTATTTGGGATTCTTTTCTCCTGTCCCTCTCTCCACTCCCAATAACCACGAATCTACTTTTTCACATTTTCTAGAACTTCATATGAACAGAGTCATAAAGTTTGTATTTTTATTTTTTTGTCTGGCTTCTTTCAAGCAGCATAATTATTGTGAAATTTATTCATTTTTGTTGCATGTATCAACAGTTTAGTCCAATTTTTTGCTAAGTAATATTTTATACTATGAATATTCCATACTCTGTGAATTCACCTGATATTTCCAGGTTTTGGCTCCTGAAAATAAAGTTGCTATAAAAATATGTGTGTTAGTCTTTGTATGATCATAAGTTTTCTTTCTTACTTTTGATTTTCCTGAGTAAATACCTAAGAATGGAATTCTTAGGCTATCCAGTGGTACAATTTTAAGTTTTTTAGAAACTAGCAAACTGTTTTTCTGTGTAGTTAAACCATTTATATTCCTAGCAGCAGTAGCTGAGATTTTCACATGCTTGTTAACACTTGATATTGTCCATCTTTTTTTTTTTCTTTTTTTAGTTTATCTTTAAATTAAGTACTTTTTCTTACATCATTGTTAACTTTTGGGCAATAAATGATTTTTTCCCTGAGACAAAGTTCTCCCACCACCAAAGCACCCACTGTCCATCACCATAGTCCCTTGTGCTCTTAATTCCCACTAACCCACTTTTATCACTCCCCTGTTTCTGAAATGTATGTCATGGAGTGTTTTACTTACGTTCTCTTTATATATTTTATGGTTTTAGGCCTTACATCCAAGTCTTTTATCCATTTTAAGTTGCTTGTTTGTGTATGGTGTGAGATAGTTGTCTTCTTCTTTTCATTTCATTGTAATAGGAATGCTGTTTTAACTTACTAAGTTCTTAATTTGCATTTCCCTCATGATACTGAACATATTTTTTATGTGCTGATTGCCATTTGCATGTCTTCTGTGGTAAAGTATCTTTAAAATCTTTTGCTATTTTTTTTTACTGGGTTTTCCTTTTATTGGATTGTAAGAATATTGTATATATTCTAGACATAAGTCCTTTTACTAGATGTGATTTACTATATTTTCTCTCAAAGTATGCTTATGCCTTTTCATTTTCATTCTAGTTCCTTTTGAAGAGCAAAGGTTTTAATTTTGATGATGTCAACTCTTTTTAAATTCAGTGCCTTTTCTTTTATTGATTGTGACTTTTGTGTGGTATTTAAGAATTCTTTGCCAAACTCAAAGTCACTAAGACTTTTTCCTCTGTTTTCTTATTGATGTTTATAGCCCTAGCTATTACCTTTAGGAATGCAATCGACTTCAAGTTAATTTTTCCATATTGTGTGAGGTTAAAGTTAAGATTCTATTTTTTTGCATATATCTATCCAATTATTCTAGCACTAATTGTTGAAAAGATTAGCCTTTCCTCATTAAATTTCTTCAGCATCTCAGTCAAAAATGAATTAACCATATATGTGTGTATCTGCCTCCACAGATAAACTAATTTTTTCTCTTTTTCTTTTGCCATTTGTACAATATTTATTTTTAAAATTACACAAGGAT